TTTCGCTGCTATTTGAAGAGCCCATTCTTAAATACTTGTTCCCCATGTAGGTACTTCAAGGTCCAGTTCAGCATGACTGGAACAGCAGGGAGCTGCAGACAACATTAAAGGGATGATGGTAGAACCTTTGTTCCCTGTGCCCACAAAGGACTGGAACGGCAGAATGCTATGGATCAGGCCAGAGGTACATGGGGAGAGCTCTGTGTCTATTGTTGTCAGGCTCTATTCCCAGCTCTAACCAATGCTCACCATCCTTTCCCCTCACGCTGCTCCCTCCCCACCCCCACGTCTCTCCTCTTGCTCCCTTCTCAAGAGGGAGGTGTTAACAACAGATGCATCTGGAGGCATCCTTATATTAGAGCCATTCCAAAAGGACAAATGGTATCTCAAGGCCCTGTACTTATTCCAGACGCACGGCATGGAGCAGACAGTTATTTAACCCAGCTTGGATTATTCCTGTGGTCATGTAGCCACCTTTCCTTTCATCAGCAGAGCCCTGATGCTGTGTGTGCTTCCGTCACAAACGGGAGCCTGGGAAGGCAGATATATTAGAAAGGTTATTGGTCAGCTGTAGGCCCAGATGTGTTTTGTGTCACTATTCAGGAGGCCACCGGTGTTGTGGGTTTAACAAAAGTCCAATAATAAGTAAGGTTATGAGCATCCCACTGCTAGGCGTATTGGTAAACGTCTCGCAACAATAGACAGCTATCACAGAGAAAAACAGCCTCTTGCACACTAATATACATCGCACACAAAACACATGCCACTGAGAGCTGGCTGACTATCTGCGCACACAAGGGCCTAGTTCTGAGGACACAGCTAAGACTGAAAGAGGGTATGTGTGTGTGTGTGTGTGTGGCGGGGGGGGGCCGGGGGACGGATGACCCTTTCCTTAGACATACTAAAACTAGACAGGGAAAAGCAACTGAAAACTACGGAGCATCCCAGGATTGGCAGGGAGAGTAGATGCCCTAATTGGCCTTCGTCATCCCGTGACCCCTGGGTAACCTCAAGAAGTTTATGAGCAGATGCGTTTCCTGACCTGTTCTACACACACAGTAAACAGGGCAGGTAACATTTTCAAAAGCACACAGATGACTTCGGAGCCTAATTTTCAACTTAAGTTAATGGAACTTCAGCCATTTTGAAAATTGTACCCAGTCCGAGCTCACTTCTTTGTTGGGTTTTGCTTTACCATCAGAGAAAACAACTCAGGGTCATGGCTTTGCCTCTTTTGATTCTGGAAGTCACTCTGGGAATCAGGGGAATTGGAAGACAGACACTCTTGGTTCCACTGCAGGAGGAAGAAATTCGGAATAACTCAGGCCTCTTTCGGAGCCAAAGTTCAGACAATGTGTGTTGCTCTTGGTGGCGAACAAGTCTGTCTCAGGGGGTCTCCACTGTTGGAAGTCAATTTGTGATGGATCTGTGCAATGACAATGTGCAATATGTGTTGGTCACTAACTGCCTGCTCACAAGTCTGATTCCTGGGAGGTGATGGGCCACTGGTGTTACCCTGTTCTGATGGCACCTGTTCCACAAATAGATGGTTTTGAGGCAGAGGGATGAGGAGTGGGCACCCCCTTGCTTGTTTATCTAGCACATGGTCATCAGGCTGTCTGCGAAGATCACCACGACTGAGTTCTGGAGAAGAGGCAGGAACGGCACACGGGCCACTCTGATGGCTGGGTTCTGGGACGTACACATGCAGCCCCCTGTTGCTTGGGAACCAAGTGACTCAGAGCTACAGGTGGTGCAAGTGAGCTCTCCATCCTGTCCCTGACACATCTGTGATCAAGATCCTTGCTGGGGAGAGGACTGAGAAGGGGAACCCTTTTCAAGCGTTTGAGGGTGTCAGGCAGCTCCAAGTGACATGATACACTACTATCGCCTTCTCGTCTATCAGGTGTTTCACCGGAGAATAGACTGCCCTGAACCAGTGCTGGAGGGCATGTAGGTAAAGCCTGGCAAGTGGCATCATGTACATGCTGAGGTGGCTGCCGGACTCAGCTGCATCGATGGCCCCAGTGCCGGGTGATCAGCGTCGATGTCATCAGTGCTGATTTTGATGGGGTTTTCTTCCTGCCCTTCTCACTGCTAGACCCCAGGATGCGGTGTCTGCTCAGAGAAGAACTTGCTGAGCGTCACCCCATGGGTTCCTCGGAGGCGGATGTCTCCTCCGGGCTGAGGTGACATGCATCAACTGCTTGAGCAGGTGAAGTCTGAGCCATGTGTCCCTGGGCACACGAATCCTTTACAAGAATGATTTGCACACCAAGCACCTATCAAGGATCTGACCCTCCCCCAGACAGACAGGGGCATCAGCTGTGCCCATCGACAAGAGGGATGAGTCCGTTGTAGGTCGGGTAGGGCCCAAACCCTGAAGGCTTGGAGTCCATCATGGCAGTTAGCATGAAGCACCCTGCCCTGCTATGCATGAGTAGATGTCTCCTGATCTTTTTAGTTTTGGAACGTCCCGTTTCAAAGAATTAACAACGGAGGAAAGTGATGAAAGACTCTTCACAAAACTAATGAGTTTGAAGCTCACGAAAGAGCAGTGGGTCGGACAGTCGCCAGGATCCATGTCGCTGTCGAGGGCAGTCAGAGAACAGAGGGACCGTGAGCTCTCAGCTCTTCACGCCCTCACATGGGAGCATGAGGTGGCATAGGGCACGTGTGCAGCCCTGATGGACGCTGCTCCTCCACAACATCCGATCAAGTGCCTGAGGGGCCAGTGCACCTACAGTGGGAGCCCTGCTGACACATCATTAAGGAAGAAATGAAAGTTATTGCATTAAATACACACACAAATTTCTGATTGGTGCAACAATTTAAAACGCTGCCTCGCGCATGTCTGCACACGTAGGTGGTGAAAATGCAGCCACGTCTAGCCACCTGTCCTGAAGAGGAGTTTACGAGAAATCCACCTAATTAAAAAAATATCCAAAAATACATTTACTCCTGGAAACTCAGTAACCAAAAAAACAACTCTGTGCATAGAATATTAAGTTAAACCCGAAGATGTGCAGGGGAAGGCTGGAATTCACCCTAAGGGTGAAATGTGCCAGCTGTAGCTGTCCCCCACACCACAAGCAAATGCACTAAAAAATCTGTATCAGCCACTCTCCTGCAGCCACTCTCCTTGCACGAGAGCCACTGGTTGCGGGCCCTAGCGCTGGGTGAGCAGGATTTGCTGTGGGGGCTCAGGAATGAGGTGGAAAGGGAGCTATAACCTGCGATCACAGGCACAGAAAGGTGCAGCAGGCCTGGCTTCTTATTTATTCGCCTGCAACAGTTTCCACAGAAGCTGTTCCATCCTCCCTAGAGCCTTCGAGACTGTGTCCCCTCCCGGCGCCCCACGCCATGGAACTGTAAGGAGAAGACATGAGCTGCACAGCACAAGAGGGAGCAGTGCCAATTACCACTCAAGGCAGCATGAACAAGACACTCTAAGTAGCTTACCAGTCAAAGGAAGAAGGCAGTGCAAAATCTTGAATCCTATTACATGCCACTTTGGGGCTAGGTGGCTTTTGTTTTGTGTCACAGCATTTCACTTCCATCATATTTTGCCAGCAAATTTAGCCCTGTTGAGAAGCATCAGACTGACAAGACCACAGAGCAGGCCTATCTGGGCATGGTACCCACACACTGGCCCACCAACATAGACAGCGTGCTCAGACCTCTGGGTCAGAGGAGCTCACTATGTCCCACTCCATCTCTGGCCTCTCCACTGAGATGGCTAGAGGTCCCAATTGGATTTTACTGCAACAGTTCTGCGGCTACCTGCCGCACTGGAAATGGGACTAAGATCTCAGTCTCGTTTCATACCTGCCGGCTAACGGCGATGCCTTTGCTCACTGCAAACCCGAGACTCTGGAGTGGACTGGCTGCATGCGGCAAGGCCTGAGCTAGCCAATCCCCTCCAATACGACAGCTGTCTCCATCAGTTTGTAGCAGGTGACTATAGAATGTCACAGCGGTGTCTGAACAGCACAGCTGTCATCCAGCCCCATGGTAGCATCTCCGTGACCTTGAGGTGCCTGGTCCCTACAGATGGAGCGAGGCAGCACAAGTCAGCGGTGGTGGCAGGAGAAAGGAGATTGCCAAGCTACCCATTTTGCGGCAACAGCTGCTGGCTGCTCTCTAGACAGGCTCTTTGGCAGCCCATCTGTTTCCTCGAATGGAGCAGGGGCAGGTGAGGAACAATTCGGTATTCTCCAGCTCCACTGCCTTTCCTCTCAAAGCCCCATGAAAGTGCATAAAGCGAGCAGGCTGCTGACTGATTTCACCCCAAAGCCCAAACGTGGCACCAGTACTGGACCCAGTTCTGATCCGCCACCCCAGTATTGTGACAAAAAAACTGGTGAGGGGGTGACAGATTGCACACAGGGACATTGCAAACCGGTTGAGAACTGCTTCCAGCTAATGGAATAACCAGCCTTTGAGGCAGTGCCACCTGGTAAGTGGGAGTTGGGACTGCTAGGGTCTTCTCTGAGCTCTGCAACTGACCTGCGGTGAGACCTCAGTCATGACACTTAATACCTGCTGTGGGACTTAATGTTTCTAAAGTGCTTTGGGAAGTTTGGATGAGAGGGGCTAGATAACCAGTGAAGAGCAGGGGCTGTTTCCACACTGAAAGGAAACCTGCCCTTTGCTTCTGTAAGAGCCGCGACCCGCTGCAGCAAAAAGGCACATGCACCTCACAAAAGACCAGGCAAGCGGTGGGCTGCGACCTCCGAGTCTCTGCTAAGCTGCTTATTTTACGATTACCCTGCATCCTCCCCTGCCTCCACCCCCATTTGTCTTTTTGGACCAGCTGTTGCATCCAGTCCGACACAAGGACTGTAACTCTGAGGCAGGGTCTGTCTTCTTTGTACAGCACCTAGCGCAATGGGACCCTGATCCTTGACTGGAGCTCCTAGGCGCTACCATAATTGAAACAATAATAAAACAACTGAAAGTTGAGAGGACTTGCCCCCGCCCCTGCATGGAACACATACCCTCAGACACCAAACAGCAGCTGATGAGTCTGCTAGTCGCCCGCATCGTCATCCCTGTCCTCCTCCAGCTGCTCGAGGATTTCGTCCAAAGCCACAGCACGCTGCTTCTTCTTCGGGGAATCTGTGCAGGCCCAGATGGCAGAGGAGCGGGCGGGGTGAGAGAACACAGACACAATTAAAAGACATGCATCTGTACCTCACTGCAGCCAGCTTCTGAGGAGCTTTCCCAACCCCTGCCCATGCTGAGCGGTGCACGGGGCTGGCAACAACCGCATTCAAACGCTTCAGAGCCCGGTGCTGTCACAGCTGGGATTAGAAGCCAGGCATTCCTGGCTCCCAGGCCTGAGCTCTGATCACGTCTCTCCACCCCAGACAAGCCGAAAGGGCCTCCTCACCTTTAGAGAAGCAGAAGGCCAAGTGAGCCTGCATCCCGGTATCTGCGCCACAGGGCCTGGGGCAGGTTGTGGGGAGGAAGAGGATGGGCTGTGGAAGCTTCCACACTGCTCTGACTCTTGTGGGCTTGTCTTTGTAACAGTGGGGAGGGCAGGACAGGAGAGGGCTCCTGGGGAGTCTCTCTCCTTCCACTTGCTGTTCTGCAGGATGAGTATGTGTGATGAGGGGGATGGGACGGGATTGCAGATCATCCCCCTTTCTCACCTCTGACCAGGGAGGACACTTGCACCCTATGGGGGACAGCCAGATGTCACGTGTGTGTGCGGCGCCTATCAGAGGGGCTTATCATAGGAAGCAAAGGGGTGAAGAGCAGGAGAGAGAGGCAGCACACCTGGTCTCAGCGAGATGAGAGCACATGGATGGGGATACTGACTATGAGGTTGGGGGGGGGGGGGACCAGGGTGGGGAGGAGAGCAAGGCAACTGGCAGCTTCCCCACCAGGATCATGTCCCCTGGACGGTGTGCACAGGAGGGAAGCTGGCTGCCCCAATCCCCCCTGCAGCAACCCCGGGCTGCATACGCCATCCTCGTTAGCTTCCTCTCCCCCACTCTAGCTCTCCTGAGCAGCTCGTCTTTAAAGCCCTCAACTATCATTTGCTTCTTCGTAATAATCAGGCTCTGGCAGTGCACAATGGCCTCTGGAAATTGAATTTGCAGGGAGGTAATGGGAGCTGTGGCAGCGGCGGCAGCCGAAAACAGAAGGGCAGGTGCGGCAAAGCATGAACTAAATGCCTGTCACTCTCTTGGCTGATGTTAACAACGCTGGGGCTGTGCCATGCAGACTCAGCCTGATGTAGACCCGCTCCCCAATAAGGGGCGCTCCCTGGGGCCGGGTGTTCCGGGGGGTGGCGAGCGACAGCTACGACTCACTGCCTCCAAAGCTGGCGGGAGATTTAACCCCTCTCCTGCTGCAGCTCCTGCGGTGACAGGGCTTTGTTTGGAGGCAAACCCGCACATTGCTTTAAAGAAATATGTAGTGGGATTCCTTGCAGTGCCCACTCCTTTGATGTACCCTGATCTATTGAATCCATTTATACAGGAGCACATCTCATGGTCATCTAAGCCCCCGTGAGGCATTCAAGTCAGGACTGAAGGTCCCACTGCTATTTGTCAGGGAGGAGGTGGATGATCCACCCAGGACAGGGTTACATGCTACATCTGGGGTACGATCCCGCGTCTCCATGGGCCAGTAATGTCCACTCTGGATGATTGATAGGGGTTATAGTGGACGAGAAGCTGGATATGAGTCAACAGTGTGCCCTTGTAGCCAAGAAGGCCAATGGCATTTTGGGATGTATAAGTAGGGGCATTGCCAGCAGATCGAGGGACGTGATCTTCCCCTCTATTCGACATTGGTGAGGCCTCATCTGGAGTACTGTGTCCAGTTTTGGGCCCCACACTACAAGAAGGATGTGGAAAAATTGGAAAACGTCCAGCGGAGGGCAACAAAAATGATTAGGGGACTGGAACACATGACTTTCGAGGAGAGGCTGAGGGAACTGGGATTGTTTAGTCTGCAGAACAGAAGAATAAGGGGAGATTTGATAGCTGCTTTCAACTACCTGAAAGGTGGTTCCAAAGAGGATGGATCTAGACTATTCTCAGTGGTAGCGGATGACAGGACAAGGAGTAATGGTCTCAAGTTGCAGTGGGGGAGATTTAGGTTGGATATTAGGAAGAACTTTTTCACTAGGAGGGTGGTGAAACACTGGAATGCGTTACCTAAGGAAGTGGTGGAATCTCCTTCCTTAGAAGTTTTTAAGGTCAGGCTTGACAAAGCCCTGGCTGGGATGATTTAGTTGGGGATTGGTCCTGCTTTGAGCAGTGGGTTGGACTAGATGACCTCCTGAGGTCCCTTCCAACCCTGATAGCCTATGATTCTATGATCACGAACATTACACGTGGTTCAAGCTGTACTGGTTAGAAGCGATTTGACATGTTGGATTACAGCACCAGCACGTGATGTGAGCCCTCATGTACACCTTTGACGGTGGCTTTCTGAGAAGGTGCGACATTAGGGATAACCTGCCTGGGTGAACACTTGCCAAGAGTGAACCCAGAGGAGAGTGAGCGTGGCCAGAGTGAATTCATTTCAAGCTCCAGGTGAGCATCCATGGAAAAATTATCACCCAGCTTAGTGACACCAGTCAAGGGAGACCTTTAGCCCTGCTTGCTGAGGATGGCGTCTCTAGGAAAGACAGACAAGCTACCCCCACATTCTCCTCCCATGAGGAACCACACCTCCACATGGAGAACAGCTGTTTAAATCCTGCTCTCAGACATCAAAAGCCTCACTGGGTTTCTCAAACAAACAAACATACCGTAGGACTGAAGAAAGGTGTAAAATAAATAAATGGAACAAGCTGTGCATTTTCTTTTAGTATTACAGCTGCTGCCGAAGATAAACAACAAGGAAATGTCACAAAGCATCAATACAGAAGAAATTAACCTGACAAAAGCGCACACCCCCTCTTTCCCCCTTAAACAATTTTGCATTTCTGGAGTTCCCATCTAATGATTTTATTTTTCAATTAATTCCTTGACAGAATGCCAGAATTGGTCTCCCTTGACTTCTAGACTTTAGGAATGCTGTGGGAGACAGGCGAGGGGCAAGGGAGATTGGAGGGGTGGGGGGGAGAGAATATTGTCCTGCCATGGCTTCCGCTCAGTGTCAGACCCCCAGAGACAGGAGGAAGGCTAGAATGATCTATTCAGAGAGCAACCCTCCCATTGTTAAAGTGAGAGATAAGGCTGCAGGTGTCTCTTGCTTAAACATGACAAGGAAAATTGGGACAAACTGAAACAGTTGAAAGTCTGGAACCTCACAGCCACCAGTAACCTTAACTCTGCCCTAGGATCCTTACCCGATCGCCATCTACAGCCCCTGTAATGTTACCCAATACCCCAGTCATCTTTGACTCATCCCAGATCACCTTTCTACTAACTTTCAGGGACGTCAGAATTAGCCCAGGCTCCTTCCTGGATGTTTCCCCAATCTCCCTCCCCTGCACACACAAAACCCTCTCACTCAAGTGTGGTGGTGGTTTCAACCTAGGCTAGCTGGGGCAGCAGGGCTTTCACTGGGGCTGTAACCCACCTGTTTTTCAATGAGGACACAGGCTAAGCCACTCAAGTGCTGAAAGTCCTCCAATGCCTTCCCTCAATTCACCCTGCTCAGAAGGACAGACACGTTCTCTTACAATTCACTGGGGGGAAAAAGCCATACAGCGGCTCAGCTCACTGAAGTGCGAAGCACCCTGGGATGTGCCCCCAGAAGTCCTAGTGACACACATGCAGCACCAGTGAGGACACTAACTCGACGTCACACTTCACTCTGTTATTGAGAAACAGGGATAACATACTCCCCATATACGTGCACCAAGTCCAACTGGTACTTTGCGCTACACACTGCACGAAGTGGGAACAGGTACGGTTACTGTCCAACCATAATCATCAACGTTAACTCACATGTGATAGTGTGCACACAGGGCTGGGTTCAGATTTCAGGGGTGACTCAGGAGTAGCTTTGCTGATGGCAGTGGAGTTATACCAGTGTAAAGGAGATCAGAAGCAAGTGGCATCTGTCTAGGGGAACCAAGAACTGGAGACAGACGCCATCAATCAGAAGGCTGCTGATGGAACCTTAACTATAAACATTAACTCCAAATTTTCAAAATTTAGAGAAGCCCTAATCATCCTTGTGTTGCTTTTTGGTGTCTAAATGGGTTATACCTTATATGACGGTTACATTCATAGCTGTAAAGGGTTAGCAATTGATAGGCAGCTGTTTTAATAAACAGTAAATTGTCAAAAATTAAACGTCATTAGGTTGCTTATAACCACGGCTCGTCAATTACACCTTCCACTGATACACTTATCTAATACTTACCAGCCTTATCTGCATATCACTATCACTTATTGACCCTTTATAAGCTACTTATTACGGACAAAAAATGTGTTCAAAGAACGTTGCAAAGTCAAACGCTCAAAAAATAGGAGCTGTCGGAATTAAGGTTCCACGGGTCAACCCTAATGTGGCCTTGGGCATGTTATAATAGCATAGGGAGCCTGAGGGTCTCATCTTGCTCTCCCTCAAAAGATCAATATCAACGCGTATCCCTCGAAAACGACAGCCCAGATTGGGGGTTATTGCTTAGCTTGAATAGTTCCGCAGGAGCACAGGATGTTGACAGAGGGCACCGCATCAGGCAGCGTTCAAGTATTTGCCTAGGCACTTCACAGTCACCCCGGGTCACTCCTCAGCTTCCAATGCTCTGCAGTGTGCCTGTACGCTCACCAAACCTGGGACCCGACGCCCCACGCGGGAGAAGGTAGTTCCACCACTTCATGGTAATACCACGCCAGTTGCTTGCCTACCTAGGCTTGTGCGAGAGGTGCGTACTTCTCACTGTAATGGTGGCGGTATAAAAGAGGGAGACAGGCAGTCCTCAGCCTTCCATTTGTCTGAGGAATTTACATGACCTTCAGCCCTATGGCATCTGAGCACCTCACAGTCTTTACACACACCCCTGTGCGGTAGGGCAGGGCTAATGTCCCCATTGTACAGAGGGGAAACTGAGGTACAGACACACTATAACCTGCTCAAGGTTACACAAGAAGTGTGTGGGGGAGCAAGGAATTGAATCTGGGTCTCCCAAGTCCCACTGG